GTGTTCAAGTCTTTTGTCGGTTTTCGCAATTCGCCGAGAGGTATCGCCATATATCTACTTCATATAGCCAGTCAAACGATTCATGAAGGACAAAGTTACGTTCACCTACCGATAAGTAATGGTTTGCAGCCACGTCAGTGTTAATTGCGTTTAGGGTTTGCGTATATAAGCGATTCGGTAGGTAAATCCCTTGGGGTTTTACTAATTGGAGTCAAACCATGCATGAGCATTAGCGGCCAGCGTTTCTCATCTATGGTATACGAAGGAAATCAATCAAGCGACATGCATCTAAATTGGCCTGTGACCTTGTCGTAATTAATATTGCGTTAAGATTATACGAGATTTTCTCTATTTTCATACAACTTTCGCTTTAACGAGATAATGCGGTAATAAATTTCAAAAAGAAACATTATCTTGAGAGCTTTACAAATACGATATCGTTAATCGAAAATGACTTTGTTTCGCCGTGTGTAATAATCCCACAGGAATGATCTATATGGACTTTCAAGTGCAATATATTACTCATGTATATTACGTTACGTATATATCCATACGTTTCTGTGAGCGATAGTGTAATAAACATTTAAGGAAAAACAAGATACAATCTAGTAAGTATATATGTAACGATAAGCATAAAAATGAAAATAACAAAATTCGTGAGTTTGATGAAGTATGGTAGCGAATGCTAAAACTTCTTTTATTTATTATATTAGGTGTAGTAAAAAGTCATCGCGTTTTTTTAAAAGACATCTATCAGTAAAAAACCGCAATTACTTTCTTACCAACAATATAAATATATCTTGATAGAGTAAAGTTTCAGCTTTAAAAATCTCTTTTTTAAATTATACGATACGACAATTTTTAATGGAGTTATGAGCAATTAAAGTCAAAATAATTCTTTTATTTAATCCGCGATAACTCAGTAATCAAAAGTCGTAGGAATATTAAAAAAAAACGATTTTGTAGGGAAAGTATCAAGCTTTCACGATAGGTAATCGAAAATTTTCTCAAATTCGTTTTGGACACGTTACAAATCCACAAAGTGAGAAGAAAATTTTTCGTCTTTTTCAGCTCGTAGTTTTTGGTATGTAAAAATTATCAAACTCATATAAACTTAAAAAATGTGATAAGCTTTTAAAAGTAGAGATTTCAAGCTTTAAAACCCTTTTTTTAAATTTGAATTTCATTCATTATTGACGAAGATATTGTATATACAACTTTGAGCTAAAAAATACGCGATGACTTTTTACTACACCTAATATTGTATATATATTTTAATTAGAAAAAATTTACCGTAATAAAAGAATCGAACTCTGCGTTCATCTCGATACCGTGAAAATGCTTTTGTGAAGATTGAAGATATTATGAATGAATGGCAAAAAAAAAAGTAGCTTTAGGGGCACTTTCTTTCATCGATGACGAGGAGCAAAAAGGAAATGAGGAAACTCGGAGTGGGTGAGTGATCGAGGAAATAAACGGGGAAATCTGCCTCCCAACGTGTACTGCGAGTACTGCTTTCTCAACCGTAATATTGGAAGTTTACGAGGTTTGCCGTAATCGAATCTCGCTGTACAGCCACAGAAAGCCTTTGGCAATCTGTTAGAGGGCCGATGCGACGTTGACGACATGTCACGGAAATGTGAGCCTTACCAGAAATGACGTGCGACGTATACTACAGTTTCACGCCGTTTTAAACAAACGAGATTTCGCACTTTCAATAGGAGAAAATTAATTCGAGTCAAGAAAAAGTTTATCTGCAACGTTATGATTTTTATCACTGAAATTGAAGGACGAAAGAAAATATTTCTTCGATTTTAATTCTATCATGATTAAATTACGATTATCTGAGCGGCAAGAAATCAAAAAATGCTAAAATTTACCGTTCTAATTATATCATAATCATAACATACTTGCTACGGCTGCACAGTTAAAATCGAAACTGATACTTAAGTCGCAATTTAACGAAGTATTTGTACTTATAGTTAAGTTTCGAAGTATAAGCAGATAATGAGCGGAACGCACGATGGTTACATTACTCTCGCCTCGTGTCAGTTAATTACTTTATATGCACATCAAGGAACTAATTAACCGTTCCGAATAAACTTTCGTTTACAATCAATTTCCGCTGCGAAGTGCAATGACCGGTCGAAATATAATACAAAAATAAAATAAAATAAGAATAAATCAACGTAAATATCAATATATCAGGAAATATACCAGAAATATAATATACTAGAAAAAAAACAAGTTAAATATGTATATATCTTATCTCATATATTAATATTTTAGCGATTTTTTTATATGTATAAATAATATGCATGAACCAATATTCTGCAAGTAAGATAGTAAGACGTGTTAAAATAAGTTCATTTTAATGTAATAATTATTTGCACAAATGAAAAGAGTTAATCTTACAAGAATTAACAAATTAAAAAGCAACGAGATTATTAGTACTGCACCGAATTTAATTCATTAAGGTCGTCGAAAGTTTCGTCGGAAAATAGCTTACTCCACTGCTTTTTCTATATAATTTTAATAGAAAATTATATGCGAGGAACCTGCTACAAATATATTATGCATTATGTGAGAGTCAAGGGATGAAAGTTATAACGATATCCATGTATATGAATTTATAAACAATATACACAGAAATCGTGTGAGAAATGTTCATCATAGTAATTGCATAGCGAGATAAACGGCATTAAGCGCCGTTAAAATGAATAAATTATTTCGTGCATCTTACATATTCGGTAACGATTTGTACAAAAGTAGCAGCACAAGCAAAATGTAGTCTTTAAATTTTTTTTATTATAGTCAGTTACTTTAAAATAATATTTTAGTTTTATAGTTATTAAGTAATATAAATGATATACCACGTATTAAGTTAATAATTATATATTATACATAATTCTACATATTAATATAGAAAATTATTATTATATTATTATATTAATATAGAAAATTCTATATATTAATATTATTTATTTATATTAGTTTTATAATTTCCTATATTTAGATGGTAATCAGCATTGAAGATTTATATTGCATTATCCAGGAACAATTTTCTATTGTATAACATTACGTGAGCTGGTTATAAAAAATATAGTGTTGCGTAGATTGCTATTCATTAAAGACAAGAGAATCCTAATTTTATGTCTTTATAACTTCATTTAATTTTTACAATTTTTTTAAATAGAAATAAATACATACATTTTTCTTCAGCCACTAGATACGTGTAACGAAAGACAAGACAAGACAGCATCGCAGAATGGTCTTTATGCAATTTCGTTGCGTAGCCAGCGGTCTAAGACTTTACAGTTAGATCTACACTTTATCATAATGCGAAGAAGTGTTGCGAACGTTGAGAGAGACATGGAACCTTGAGAATTCCCTCGCTCATTGTGATTCGCGAAAGAAATAAGGTCTCGTATGTACTCTTCCTGGCATATCAGAACAGAATTTCCCACACTGCTGCGGCCCAGTTTTGCATAATGCATCTTCTGAAGAAAAGTTCTTAGATGTCTTATATTAAATCGCAAAAGCAAGAAAATGTCTACTCGATTTTTCAGGAAATTCGTATCTTCTTATACACATTATTACACAATTGCTGTATTAAATTCGAATTTTGAATTAAAATTTTTTACCTATAAATTTATTACATATTTCTGTGAAACAGATATATAATATTTTATGAATATCGGTCTAAATATATATTTGATGCGTTAACAAAATATTTAGATAAAAATCTAGTTATATTAGTTATATTATTATAAATAATACGTTTAATACAATTCTTTTAGTTTTCTTTGTAGCATTCAATGTAATATTTAATATGAATTATAAAATAATGTTTAGCTGAAAAACAGCTTTACTAGCTGCAAAAACATAAATACATATTTTAATAACTTTATGTTAACAGATTTTGAAAAATATTATGATATAACGAGATGCAAGAAATAATCATAAATATAATCTATAAAAACAATTACTTGTCTATAATAGCGTAATAAATTTATAAAGCTATTATTATGATACTTGATATCACATTCAGCAAATATTACACAGATCTGCATTCATAACAAGTTTTAAATTTGAAAAGTCTATTAAATATTTGACAGAAGTCGGAAATAGCGCATCTATGTTTGACAGCTTCATTAATTGTGTTTCTGGAAAAAAAATGTTTTACTTTTAATTCACAATCCAAAACGCAAGATTTGAGCTGGCTGCGGAATTTGTCGTTGTTAACTCCATGATATTATCCATGTAAGCGTGACGCAATTTCATTTACTGCATCCGGTAACGTCGTTGTAAACATACTACGGGCGTCTTGAAGCGCAAATAGACGAGCTGTTGAGAGAATTCAGCAATAAAGCAATAGAACTTGCCTAAGTGTTTTTTAATTAATTGAATTGCGTATCCGTTCAGAGTAAATACATATAACACATCGATACCAATCTGTAAAAGTATGATTATCGACATGTGATTAAATAAATCCAGGCCTTTGAAGCGTACTAAATACTACTAATTTTCAAATAAAAGAAATTGTAAATATTATATAATATGGAGAAAATTTAAGAAAATGTAAACGTGTTCTTTGTACGTTAATAAAGAAGAATAAAACTCTTTGATTAAATTAATATTAATGAGAGTAATTATAATATAAAATATATTATAAAACCGAAAAATTTTGAATAAATGAATTTAATAAAAATTTAATAATCTTTGTGAAAGTATAACACTTTGTAAAACAATATCTACAGTTACATCGTTGAAAAATATTGCGGTATACAATTTTTTTATTGTCGTAACTGTCTGGATTACACTTATAATTTAAATTTCTTATAAATACATAATATTAAAAATAATTAACAAATTAAAAACTTGAAAAAGAATTTTATAATTTATTATTAGGAATACACGCTTTTATGTTCGTATTTGCATGATATACTCGTATAATGCTTGATGACATTTATTAGATAAATTTATTTACATTATATATAATATATTTACATTAGCTTCTAAACATAGATTCTTGCTTGAAGATTTTTAGTTTTAGATATTTTTTAGTTTTAAACCACAATACAATGCCATTACAACGTTCCTGGTTTGAAAATTAATAAGAACCAGTAAGAGTATCAAAATTAATAATCACCCACGAAAGCATGAGCCATGTTAAAGTTACCGTATTAACTGATATCACATTAGCATTATTGTACTTATGCGTCGTCGTGTCCGATGGTGGGGTTGGTGTAGTGGTGCTGCTCGTCGGTGGGGTTGATGGAGTGCTGCTGTCCGTCGGCGGGGTTGGTGGAGTGCTGCTGCCCGTCGGCGGGGGTGGTGGGGGGCTGCTGCCCGTCGGCGGGGGTGGTGGGGGGCTGCTGCCCGTCGGCGGGGGTGGTGGGGGGCTGCTGCCCGTCGGCGGGGGTGGTGGGGGGCTGCTGCCCGTCGGCGGGGGTGGTGGGGGGCTGCTGCCCGTCGGCGGGGGTGGTGGGGGGCTGCTGCCCGTCGGCGGGGGTGGTGGGGGGCTGCTGCCCGTCGGCGGGGGTGGTGGGGGGCTGCTGCCCGTCGGCGGGGGTGGTGGGGGGCTGCTGCCCGTCGGCGGGGGTGGTGGGGGGCTGCTGCCCGTCGGCGGGGGTGGTGGGGGGCTGCTGCCCGTCGGCGGGGGTGGTGGGGGGCTGCTGCCCGTCGGCGGGGGTGGTGGGGGGCTGCTGCCCGTCGGCGGGGGTGGTGGGGGGCTGCTGCCCGTCGGCGGGGGTGGTGGGGGGCTGCTGCCCGTCGGCGGGGGTGGTGGGGGGCTGCTGCCCGTCGGCGGGGGTGGTGGGGGGCTGCTGCCCGTCGGCGGGGGTGGTGGGGGGCTGCTGCCCGTCGGCGGGGGTGGTGGGGGGCTGCTGCCCGTCGGCGGGGGTGGTGGGGGGCTGCTGCCCGTCGGCGGGGGTGGTGGGGGGCTGCTGCCCGTCGGCGGGGGTGGTGGGGGGCTGCTGCCCGTCGGCGGGGGTGGTGGGGGGCTGCTGCCCGTCGGCGGGGGTGGTGGGGGGCTGCTGCCCGTCGGCGGGGGTGGTGGGGGGCTGCTGCCCGTCGGCGGGGGTGGTGGGGGGCTGCTGCCCGTCGGCGGGGGTGGTGGGGGGCTGCTGCCCGTCGGCGGGGGTGGTGGGGGGCTGCTGCCCGTCGGCGGGGGTGGTGGGGGGCTGCTGCCCGTCGGCGGGGGTGGTGGGGGGCTGCTGCCCGTCGGCGGGGGTGGTGGGGGGCTGCTGCCCGTCGGCGGGGGTGGTGGGGGGCTGCTGCCCGTCGGCGGGGGTGGTGGGGGGCTGCTGCCCGTCGGCGGGGGTGGTGGGGGGCTGCTGCCCGTCGGCGGGGGTGGTGGGGGGCTGCTGCCCGTCGGCGGGGGTGGTGGGGGGCTGCTGCCCGTCGGCGGGGGTGGTGGGGGGCTGCTGCCCGTCGGCGGGGGTGGTGGGGGGCTGCTGCCCGTCGGCGGGGGTGGTGGGGGGCTGCTGCCCGTCGGCGGGGGTGGTGGGGGGCTGCTGCCCGTCGGCGGGGGTGGTGGGGGGCTGCTGCCCGTCGGCGGGGGTGGTGGGGGGCTGCTGCCCGTCGGCGGGGGTGGTGGGGGGCTGCTGCCCGTCGGCGGGGGTGGTGGGGGGCTGCTGCCCGTCGGCGGGGGTGGTGGGGGGCTGCTGCCCGTCGGCGGGGGTGGTGGGGGGCTGCTGCCCGTCGGCGGGGGTGGTGGGGGGCTGCTGCCCGTCGGCGGGGGTGGTGGGGGGCTGCTGCCCGTCGGCGGGGGTGGTGGGGGGCTGCTGCCCGTCGGCGGGGGTGGTGGGGGGCTGCTGCCCGTCGGCGGGGGTGGTGGGGGGCTGCTGCCCGTCGGCGGGGGTGGTGGGGGGCTGCTGCCCGTCGGCGGGGGTGGTGGGGGGCTGCTGCCCGTCGGCGGGGGTGGTGGGGGGCTGCTGCCCGTCGGCGGGGGTGGTGGGGGGCTGCTGCCCGTCGGCGGGGGTGGTGGGGGGCTGCTGCCCGTCGGCGGGGGTGGTGGGGGGCTGCTGCCCGTCGGCGGGGGTGGTGGGGGGCTGCTGCCCGTCGGCGGGGGTGGTGGGGGGCTGCTGCCCGTCGGCGGGGGTGGTGGGGGGCTGCTGCCCGTCGGCGGGGGTGGTGGGGGGCTGCTGCCCGTCGGCGGGGGTGGTGGGGGGCTGCTGCCCGTCGGCGGGGGTGGTGGGGGGCTGCTGCCCGTCGGCGGGGGTGGTGGGGGGCTGCTGCCCGTCGGCGGGGGTGGTGGGGGGCTGCTGCCCGTCGGCGGGGGTGGTGGGGGGCTGCTGCCCGTCGGCGGGGGTGGTGGGGGGCTGCTGCCCGTCGGCGGGGGTGGTGGGGGGCTGCTGCCCGTCGGCGGGGGTGGTGGGGGGCTGCTGCCCGTCGGCGGGGGTGGTGGGGGGCTGCTGCCCGTCGGCGGGGGTGGTGGGGGGCTGCTGCCCGTCGGCGGGGGTGGTGGGGGGCTGCTGCCCGTCGGCGGGGGTGGTGGGGGGCTGCTGCCCGTCGGCGGGGGTGGTGGGGGGCTGCTGCCCGTCGGCGGGGGTGGTGGGGGGCTGCTGCCCGTCGGCGGGGGTGGTGGGGGGCTGCTGCCCGTCGGCGGGGGTGGTGGGGGGCTGCTGCCCGTCGGCGGGGGTGGTGGGGGGCTGCTGCCCGTCGGCGGGGGTGGTGGGGGGCTGCTGCCCGTCGGCGGGGGTGGTGGGGGGCTGCTGCCCGTCGGCGGGGGTGGTGGGGGGCTGCTGCCCGTCGGCGGGGGTGGTGGGGGGCTGCTGCCCGTCGGCGGGGGTGGTGGGGGGCTGCTGCCCGTCGGCGGGGGTGGTGGGGGGCTGCTGCCCGTCGGCGGGGGTGGTGGGGGGCTGCTGCCCGTCGGCGGGGGTGGTGGGGGGCTGCTGCCCGTCGGCGGGGGTGGTGGGGGGCTGCTGCCCGTCGGCGGGGGTGGTGGGGGGCTGCTGCCCGTCGGCGGGGGTGGTGGGGGGCTGCTGCCCGTCGGCGGGGGTGGTGGGGGGCTGCTGCCCGTCGGCGGGGGTGGTGGGGGGCTGCTGCCCGTCGGCGGGGGTGGTGGGGGGCTGCTGCCCGTCGGCGGGGGTGGTGGGGGGCTGCTGCCCGTCGGCGGGGGTGGTGGGGGGCTGCTGCCCGTCGGCGGGGGTGGTGGGGGGCTGCTGCCCGTCGGCGGGGTTGGTGTAGCGGTGCTACCCGTCGGTGGGGTTGGTGACGCGGTGCTGCCCGTCGGTGGAGTTGGTGTAGCGGTGCTGCTCGTCGGTGGGGTTGGTGTAGCGGTGCTGCCCGTCGTTGGAGTTGAAGTAGTACTAATCATTGTACTAATCGTAGCGGATAGCCTTGATGGTAATCTACATTCTATAATCATTGCATCTAGCAGTAGTCTCTTTGCATAGTTCTTGTTTTTAACGAGTTTTATTGATAACATTTTAATGCACTTTCTTTAAAGGAACAAGTTAACGAAAATGAAATTATGAATATTAATTGGCTCTCAAAATTAAAAAATACAATAAAATACATAGACAGTAGTATTACATAAGAGCATATATACAGCATAGATACTGGTGCGCATATTTCTATATAATTATCGAAAAAATATCTACATAGGATATAAATGTACAATAATTATCAGTACCATATTGTTCGTACGTTTCGGTTTTCTTCAAACTATTATCAGTGAATTTTTAAATACTGTCGTAGATGTTTTGACAATAATCTTAGGACAGTTGAAATTTAAATCTATGTACGATTGAGGATGAGCATTTCCCTACTTTCTGGTGGGGAACCGTAAGTCTCTTCGTTAAAAAGTGACTGACTAGAGAACAAATTATGCAATTTAATATCTTTACAAAGGTTACAAAATAAAAAGCATACAGCCACAGCTCAAGATGTCAATAAGTTCAATATTATTATTTTATTTTAACAAGTAGACGTTTCGGTCAAGATTTGACCCTCTTCAGTACACAAACTATTATCCTAGACAAACGAACACGATTGCGTATAATTCGGATAAAGAAATAAAAAATGCGTACATCGAATGTTACAATCATTCTTCGAATTTTGTATTTGATTGATCCAAATGTAATTTTTAATCACGTATATTGAGTCGGACTAATTTGTAAAAATAGGAAATATTAAAATTATACTATCTGTCAATTTGTAAAAATATGTTCTTTGTTTTAACTTAACGAATTTGTGTACTGAAGAGGGTCAAATCTTGACCGAAACGTCTACATGTTAAAATAAAATAATAATATTAAACTTATTGACATCTTGAGCTGTGGCTGTATGCTTTTTATTTTGTAACCTTTGTTAAACTTTTAGCCACTTTCTCATAATTTAAAATTTTAATATCTTTACGTTTTCAATGCATTGTATTACTCATTCTCATTCTTTACAGATTACAATTCGTTATTCCAAATGTAGGAAGTCAAATTATTCAAAGGAATAATAAGAAGAAATATAATATTTAGTGTTTACATTATATGATATAAAATTATGACATATGTTATCCCAACAGGAGTCAGACAATCAATGACCGTCAAATTCTATTCTGCGAGCCACGTCCGTAGAGAATAATACGTTACGATGAGTCAAATTGTTCTAATGCCAATCTTTAAAAACAAAACAAAATCAGTTAAAAACGAGTACACAAAGTCTCTATTTAAATCTTTCTAACATGCTCACATACAAGTGGTGCAAAAACTCTATCTAATTGTAAATTTAAGCTATTTTGTTGCAATTGAATGTTCAGCATTTCCGATATGAGTCTCTTATATAATTTTCTTTCTATGTCCAAGATTTTAATATTTTCCTATTGAAAATTATGACTGTGTTACAACCTATGTTGCGTGATCACTGATTCATTAGACGTTCTCTTATTAATGTGATTTCTGTGAATTCTTCGGCTCTCCTTTTTAATAACCGTCCTGTTTGCCCTTCATAGATTGCATCACAGTCTCAACACTGTATTTTATACGCTATATTTTTGTTTGAGCTTAATAAAAGAATATCTTTATGACCTTTGATAATGCCATCCAATTTTTTCAAATTACTATATCATAGATTAACATTCATATTTTTTTTCAAAAATATTACATAAGATAAGAATGTTAATTTATGTTATAATAGTACTTGACTTTTTAATGAAAAGACTTATGGCTATTTCCCACCAGAAAGTAGGGAAATGTTTATTTTCAATTGTACATAGATTTAAATTCTAATATTGTCATAAGATTATTGTCAAGACATCTACGATAATATTTAAGGATTCGCTGATGGTTTGAAGAAATCGAAACGTACGAACAATATACTACGGATAATTATTGTACATTTATATTCTATGTAGACATTTTTTATTAATTAAATAGAAATTTGTGCACTAAATATTCGAGCTGTATGCTCTTATTGTCCATGTATTTTATTGTATTCTTTAAAATACTTTTATATGAATCATGTCATACAATGTTTATTGATTTCAAGACTTTATAACTGTTATCCTTAAATTTATAAGTATTAATATCAAATATATTAAAATATGAAAGAAATGATAGCGTTTATTATCAAATTTTTTAAGACGTATTTGAAATAAACACAAGCAAATAAATACAAATAAAGCATCAGAGATTATATAGGAGACTGATTAGCACAAGAGACATGTTGTTATTGCGTTTTGTTGTAATATATTTATAATAAAAAAAGCAAAATTACTACAATTTCTTTTATAACATAGATATTTTTCCCTAAGTTTCATTTAAATCAGAAAGTACTATAATAAAAAGAAGAAAAATATGATTCATGAAGAAACAAATAAATTTTCAATTGTTTCATAATTTTATATTAATATTCTTTAGCTTGAAAAAATAAATTTAAGAGTTGCATTATTAATTAAAAGAAAAGTTTTTGTTATTATATGACATGTTATTGTAATGATCATAATTTATTATAATAAAATGATTTTTTTTAAATCTTTTTATTTAAATTCTTTGTTAACTACAATATTAATAATATAATCAAATAAATCATTCAAAGTTTATTTCGTACCTGAGTATAGAATAGTAGATGTAACTATTAAAATAATGATTACAAAAGGGCGAACTTGCTTTGCCATCTTTGATGTGTTGTCAGATACGTCGAATCAGTAACTGTCGTGATACTTCGAGAAATCTATACCTTACAACGTTATCATCAATTTTCACTGCACTGTCACTGACTGCGATAAACTTGGATTATCGCAAGCATGAACCTCCCTCAATGCTGTTAATCTCAATTAAGATGTAAAAAAATGAATTATCAGATAATCATCATATCTTGGTTGCAGTTATAATTTCTATTGCAAGTAAAAATAAGAAACATATAATAAAATTAGAAATAAATTACTTTCTCTTGACTAAAACATTTTATTAAAAATTAATAAAAATAGTTAACAAAAATCATTTTTTTTGTAGCCATATAGTATTAGTTTTGCAGCAAAATATACTAATGATTATATAATTAGTTTTTATTATGAATAATTATTATAAGTAATTGTAAGATAAAGCAGATTTGATTTGTAACTATGTCACACAATTATATGCTGATATTTTTAAAACAAACGTGACTTTAAATTTTATTAATTATATCAGAATTTCTTACGAATTTATTTTGTTTTGAATTTAAAAGATTTCTATTAATAGAATTGATTGTCATGCAAAAAGTTAAAAATACCAGATCAGTAATAGTTTGCGTGAAATAATTATTCTCATTC